AGGACGAGTAGGAGGAGAAGAAGAAGAAGATGATGATGGTGACGAAAGGAGGAGGAGGAGAAAACGACGAGGAGGAGGAGATGAAAAAGATGACGAAGAGGAGGAGGAGAAGAAGAAGAAGAAAAAAAAGAAGAGGAGAAGAAAAAGTTGATGAGGAGGATGAGATGGCGAGGAGGAGGTTGAGGCGGGGGGGAAGGTGAAGATGACGAAAGGAGGAGGAGGATATGAAGAAGATGACGAAGAGGAGGAGGAGAAGAAGAAAATGAAGAAGAATACGAAAAAAAAAAAAAAAGGTCACGCGTGCTGACATGGCAGCCGCTTGACGACAACGAACATGACGAGGAAGACGACGAGGAGGAGAAGGACGAGGACGAGATGACGACAAAACGATGACGAGAAGAGGAGGAGGAAGAAGAAGAAGAAGCGGGGGCTTGGGGGGCGGGGGGTTGTGAAGAGAGATGGCGACCTTCTCTCTCTCTCTCTTTCCCCCCCCACCCCCCCCCCACACACACGGGCTGCTGACGTGGCATGGGGGGGGGGGGGGGGCTGGGGGGGGGGTGGGTGTGGGGGGGGCGCTCGGGCGGTTGTTTGCTGACTCACCCGCATAGTCGCATCCGCTGCGCGGTAAGGGGCTAGGGTGAATGCAAGCTAGAGTCGAATTCGAATTCGAAAACCCCTCCCCCCAGCCCCTTGCCGCCAACCTCAACTACCGGTAGCCTCACTACCGACCACCCCCGCCGACCAGGCCCTAAGGCCTCAAAACCCCGCCAGGACCACCGCCGGCGACCGGTACCGGCACTCGCGAACGACGTTCGCGGCCTCCAAAAATGCGTTCTTGCGAACGCGTTCGGGATCCGTTCGCGTAAACGCGCGAACGTGTTCGCGCGGACGGAAAGCACCGCGAACACGTTCGCCGTGCTACGCAGGTTCGAACTTTGGATTTGACTGCCTGCGATCACATACTTATATATGGCTGAGAGGAGTCCCACTGTGGTTGCTTTCATATGCATGCATTGCGAGTCGATATGAGTTAGCCCTGCGTCTGTGCGGTTTTATACTAAGTATCGCGCTTGTCGCCTATCCGATTTCCGCGTCAGAAGGTTATGAGATGGCTATTGAAGGGACTAGGATTGTTTATGTTGTGGTGTGTGTTTTATTCCTATGTTCGTAGTGTGGTGTACACGTGGTGAGTGGGATACATCCTAGTTGACCGACATTAAGCCGTGCTTGAGACTTCAGCCCCCCAGTGCGTCGGTTCACCGTGACGTGCAGGTCCGACAGAGGCGTGAGACCACACGTACCCCCGATGCTACAACGAACGAGAAACGCCCTCAGCTGGTCCACCTCTGCGATTGCAACTGATTAGCTTTCGTACTCGGGAATGGTAGCTCGGCGAGGATACACCCACCGAAGGATGTGACAACTCCCGTAAGGTGGAGGTAAGTATTGCCTCGCATTGGCCCTATCCTGTCGTAGAGACTTGCGAGAGGTATGGCTGGCGCACTCGGCCGAAGCGGCTTGCAGAAGCTCCATATGTATTCATAGCGAGGATCAGACCAACTCTTGCGTGACGCGGCCGGGAGGGTTCCGCCCTGCTCGGCGCGGGACTGATGTGCTCCTTAACGATTTAGAGAGAAAAATCAGTCAGACGAAACCAAACGAAAATAAAAAAGAAGCAAACACCTAAAATTATTATATTAAAATAATTTCAGTGAATTTTAAACTTATCTTTCAACTTTTTATAAATATATCCTTCAACCATAAGTACTTAAGAAGTGGCATGACGCTGAAACATTCGAAATCGGATTTCTATTTCAATAATTCACATACGCATCAATCAACCATGTGAGTAAATAAAGTATTATGTTATAGTAGGAATCGAGCTCATATCTATATTTCAACAACTTATAGTCGTATTGTTCAATCACAATGATTACAACTTTTAGTTGGTTTCTGGCCAACAACTGAATATATAAGAAGGAAAAAAAAGAAATAGAAAATTAAGGTTAAACATATGTTATACGGCGGACACATACATTTCGGAATAAGAGGTTGTCTTTGGAACTGCAAACGCTTGTTTTTTTTAAGTTAAATATGACACATAAACTTTGATATATATATGCACCCTCCTATAACTAAATATGTTTCTATCTTGCATAACAAAAAATACAGTAAAAGAAAAAGACTTACCTTTTATATAAATTATCCATTCGTTTCTAAAATAAGCAGCAAGATAGAGGAAAGTCTATACTTGATGCTATGTCGGCATCTAGTACATATATAAGTTACATAAGGAGCTTAACTCGTAACGATATATCATTTAGAAAAAGATGCATTTGTTCTAAAATGATCTCACTGAGATAAGAGTTTCATACATAGCGAGATGATATTTATTTTTATATTTTAAAAAATGACAATTGTTGTTATAACTGTCGTTTATCGACCTATAAAATCTTACTACACCAATTTTGATAAATGTGTAAGAAAATAAGAAAGATTCAATTTTACGATATATCCATGAAAAAAAAATGTGTTGTTACGAAAGAAAAAAACAAATAAACGGAAAATAATAATCATGACTGACTGTTATTACCGCAGACACCGAAAGAACGAGAGAACAAAACTTAAAAAAAAAAAAACTAATAAAATAGTGAGTGGGCGAGCACGTTTTGACACCGACATATTTTGTGATTTTTCATTTTTGTTTAGTTTGACAAAATACCTTATAACTTGAT